GAATTAGGGGCTATTAGCCAGGGGCTGAACAACTCTGCATTATCTCTACGAGTTCTGAAGCTGGGCTATGTCTACTCTTCTCACTGGACCTCTGTTGCTGCTACTGATGTCTGTACTAAGTGCTGTCATTACAGATTGTGACTTGCTAAGCTGTGCAAATTTCAATGCTCCTGGGAGCAGAATAATAAAGGTTATGCACCGTTAAACATGTCACTGATTCAACTTCCATTTCCCTCACTGCAATTTTATAGTGGATGCCCATTCAGTCTCACAGGGACAAATAAAATGGGGTGTTTTCAAGCCATATCCATCTAAAGGATGAGGTGTCATGGTCTCTTGGCAAGTGACTACTTTGATGGCAGAACAGTTTGATTTGCAACAGTTATAAAACAGCTATTTCTGACCCTAGAGCGTAGCAGAGTTAATTACGGCAGTAAGCAGTTTGCAGAAACTAATTTATATTGTGATGCCTTAGTTGGCACAAGAAAGAAGGGATTTGTCAAAATATACTAAGATGGCTCCCTCAAACCCTACTTTATTTTGTAACTCAACAGTAAAAATCTTGTTTTGTAATGACAGAGACAAAATATAATCAAGGAAAGGTGCATCTTCCTTGTCCTTAAGGACATATTTTCTGTTTCAAAACATTAGCTGACAGGCCAAATATGTTGTGCAGAGTCTTTCAGAAAAAGAAAAGTTTTGCAGTTTTTCTGTTTTCACGAGAAATACAAGTTACAGAATGACAGTCTTTTGGCTAGGCTAGAGAAAACTTTCAAGCCTAGCTTTGTAGTAAATAAAACACCCAGTCTTTCACCTGCTGCTTACTTCATCTCTTCTCATCAGGAGGTAGAGGTGATAGTTTTTTTCATCATTCTCTGGCTGGCAACCCCCTCGAGTTGTTAAATAAGAAGGAAATGTCATTGACAAGAATGCACAATCCATGTGTCTATATTTTAAAATGGATTATTAGAGAAAATTGAATCTTGAAGGGCAGAGTAGAACTATAAATACTAAGTTCTAGCAAAATTTTCAGCAATTCACTTTTTTCAAAGCTGGTTCTACTTCACAGTTCCCATAGGAGCTGTTATCCATAAGCTGAGAAAAGTAACCTGAGCTGTACTAAGACATTATCAGACTGAATCTCTGTGGTATTTAATAAGACTTCATCTGGAGGTTTCCACTCTGCATCTTCATCTAAGTTCCTTTGTGTCTTGATGGATTGTTACCTATTGTCTATGTTTTCATTTGGTACCCATCTGACAGAAAAGCAAAGAAAAAAATATTCAGGACAGTGAACCAAACATTTGTTTCTGTCAGGTCACATCTACAAGACTAGGTAACTGAAAATGTGAGATGGGAAAAAATTAGTCAGTTACTGTTTACTTTACTACTATCTCAATTCTTTTTTTGTTCTCTATATGCTAACTCTCCCTCTTCCCTCTTTTCTGTGCCACAAGTCTAGAGACACTGTTCTTGACCTCACCTACTCCTCACAGTACTATGCTCTGTATGGTATTGTTTCTAAGAAGCAGAGTGACGCTTTCTGCATATACATTATCAAAAGATCTCAAGAAACCATGCAATTTTTGCCAGTGAATAAAGCATCATAACCTCAGTTTATGAACTGACCTTCTCTATTGGTCTTGTTTGATGTCTGCCCAGTGGAGTAAGTTATAGGAGAGAAAAACATTCTCATTTTCTTACTTAATAGCTATTTTGTTTCAGAACAGTGGAATATCAATAAAAAGTAAAGCTATTTTATCACTATCATTTACCAGAGCATGGCACTATATGCTTTGTTAATCTGTAAGACTCAGTTTTGACAGAGCTCATCAGCTATATTTTATTAACAAGATGGGTAATATAACATATTTCATACAAGAGAACAGAGGATCCAAATTCCAAATTCTTGACCACAGTTAGCAGAACAAAAATGTCATTACTAATAGACAAAAATTAGGGCACAGACTTTGCCTCCATTTCAGAACACACAATCTAGGCAATCTATATACGGATTTAACATAGGTCCAATCATCTTCCTTTCATATCAACTCCAAATGACAAATTAGATCTGTGAAAATGAGGCAAAAGGTCATCCCTCTTGCAGCTGAACTGTCAAAGTCACTAACTAATTTGATAAATATGGGCTCTGATGACTTCCCGAGGCTGTCTTCAGCCCATTAGATATTCTTATGCATATTTAAAAATTTAATTTAACTTCTCTTATACTTTATTTTTGGTCTTGTCTCTTCCTACAAACAGGAGGATGTAAATAGAATGAGAAAAAATATATTAGAACTAAAGTCTCATAAATTTATATCAGAAAAGATTTCTCATGCCAGATTTTTAAGTCAGAGTAGCTGAGGAAGATTTGCATGCAAGGATCTGCGATTTTAGAACATGTGATTTGACTGCTTGTCCTGGCTTTGGCTGGGATAGAGTTGATTTTCTTTTTAGTAGCTGGTACAGGGCTGTATTTTGGACTGAATATGAGAATAATGTTGACAACCCACTGACAGTTTAGTTGTTGTGAGTAGTGATTATTTAAAGTCAAGGACTTTTCAGTTTTCCAGACTCTGATAACAAGCAGGTGCACAGGAAGCTGGGAGGGAGCATGGCCAGGACAACTGACCCAAACTAGCCAAAGCGCTATTCCATACCATAAAATGTCATGCCCAGTATATAAACTGGGGGAGTTGCTCAGAAGGTGCTGATTACTGCTTAGGAATAATCAGCAGGTGGTGAGTAACTGTATTGTATACCACCTTTTTCTCTGAGGTGTTATTCCATTCTCTCCTTTTAATTAAAATTATTATTATTATTATTATTGTAATTTTAATATTTTATTTGTTTCAGTTATTAAACTGTTCTTATCTCAATGCACAAGACTTCCTTTTTTCCAGTTTTTCTCTACACTGAGGAAGAGTGAGGAGGGAAGCGAGCAAGAGCTTGTGTGGTATTTGCTGGCCGGGATGAAACAATGACACTGTCCTAAAGCAAGAGGAATGTTTTATTAAGACTGGAGCAGTTTCACAGACCTAAAGAAGTAAAAGACATATACTGGTTAGATTTGGAATAAATGTTGGAACACATAGTTAATACAATTTTGTTCTGACACGTGCTGCAATATCTGTGCCTTTAGAGCTCTGAGATTCATAAGGATGTGCTTGGTATTCACACTATTGTAACTTATCTCACGGGAGTAAAAATTATACTGCTTGATTCCCGGAAAGGGATTTCCAGTAAAACAGTGATCTTTAAAAGCAGAATAATCCGACATATGCAATCAGTGTAGTGTAAGCACAACTTCTTAGAGACTGACTAAAGAAACAGACAAAACCACTCCCATAAAACATCCACAAGGATTAAATCATGACCAGGTAAGCAAATCAAGCCATAATTATGTTATTTTCCCTTAGTAGGTTCTCTAAGACTCTCTGGGGCAGAGAGTCTTGGAGAACTCAGCGGATGTCCTTCTTCTCCCTCTGATGGTAAAAATTGTTTCCAAGCCACAGGCAGGGAAAACCGAGCATTTTGTTTGCCTTGGTACGCTATCAAACCTGTTCAACTGTTTTCTGGCAGAAGACACTTGAGCAGAGAGGGCATATAGTCTGTATGGGTTTTAACTCATGGAAGGCAAAAAAAGTTATGGTGGACTGACTATAACTACTACTCTAAAGCTGTGTAATTTGTGTGTACAAAACGCAACGTTCTTCTTTCCTGTGGGGGAATAAAGTTGGAATTATTTGTACAAGGTACATTTGCTTCTTAGCAGCTTCTTCTCTCTTCTCTGTGCACTTGCTATGATGTCAAAGCTTGGTCAATTAATAATGTCTCTAGGAGAGGGAGAGTGGACTTTTCCAACACAGTGAAATTGAGTCTACTCTGTAAAAAATTGGCAAGTACAGCCTTCCTAAGAGAGAGCCATCTGACACCTAAAGTCTTATAGTAACAAAGCAGGCTGTTGCAAATTTCTAAAGGATATGACATTATTAACTGAGACTGAAGAAGCCAATGTCCTATGCACTTCTATTCATGACATAGCTGTCAAGACTTTTCTTAGAAATGTTCTTATATTTTCAGTGAAACTCTCCATGGAAGAACTGTATCTACCACAGAGATTCTACTTGCTGTGGAAAAAAAAAAAAAAAGGAGGCAAAGTAGAATTCAGGAAGTATGTTCTATTCCTAAAAAGTTTTCCTTTAAAATCCAAAAGCACTGAAAGCTAGTTTTGGCAAGAGATGTAATCAAAATATATTATTATCAAAGTCTGAACTCTATCAAGCACTAGCAAACTCCTCTGAGGAATCAATAACTCCCAGTGAAAACAAAGTATTGGCAGTATATGTCTGTATTGGTGTAGATTATTGGCCCAGTATTTCATACCCAGTGGATGAGACAAAGGTTGCCTATGTCTCTATGCAGCTGTACTGACAAGAGGAACATGACCTCACTGTATTAAATCACACAGTTTTGGTCCAGGTAACAACTTCCATTTCCTGTTGTCTTGGTTTTGTCTTCTGTAAATGATGGCCACTGGAACTGAGGAAGCCTGAATAGGTGAATATGTTATACCTCATAAAATAAACTGGAGTAAGGGTAGGAATGAGAGTCTCTCATACTTCAGTCGCTTTCTGCAGTACAGTTGACTTGCAGACAGTGTAGGAAACTGAGGGAACTGCAACTTCCCTCATGTCTATTTTCCAAGATAAAATGGTGTTGAAAAGTAATTTGTGACCTTTGTGGTTCATAGCCTCTCTTGTGGTCCATGAAATTTCTTGGGTAATGCTAAGTAATGCTGTCTCTACAGGTCAGTACTACATAATTCTTAGAACAGCCTATACCATTCAGTTCAGCTGCATTTTACTATTCTCTAGGTACTCCAGGGAAATGTATTAGGATGACAGTCTACTAATACTCCATTGACCAATGACACTTGAAAGAGAGGAGGGACTTGATTTCAGTCATGGCACTTGAAATGATCCTTTTCTTATGCCAAATGAAAATAAAGACAGTAACAGAATTTATTGGGGAAAAAGATAATAGACAGTATATTACAAAATTTTATCAGGGTATGAACATCAGAAAAGGATAAAAAGTCACATTTAACCTTCTTCAAAGTTGAAGTATACAATGGGCCTTCTTCCTTATCCAGTTGACAAGTTATAGCTGAAATATCTTGAAGAGCAGAGCCTCAGGAAGTGTTAGCTGTAGAGTCTCAGCAGCTCCTGAACTTCCACTCCTTTTTGATATCTGCTGCTTCAGTCTTTCAGAACTAGAAGTGATGATGACTATGGTATGGCTGACTTGCAATCTGCTTATGATGCAACATAAGACATATGGCTTCGTCAGAGACTCGTAAGGAACCTTCTTCCTTTGCATGCTTCCCAGTAAGTGCTATAATCTGACCTATTAGAAAAGCCCATCATACTTGCAGCTTGCTTATCATGTGAACACGTTTTCTGATGCTTCACTGTTAAGTGAAGTCCCTTTCTGACAAATGGCCATTCTGTACATAGAAAGCAGCAATCTCTGATAACAGGAGGCAAACTATTAATGCCTCTTTTGTTATTCTTTGTCACATCATTAATCACAATAAAAATTCCTTAGATATCATTCATGTTCAGTACCTAATATTTACTCCTATGAGAGAAAGCTTGGTGATGCTATTAATAATGCAATGTGTATTTTTTAAGGTCCTGCCTCCTCAAAATACATCTCAGACATGAGATGATAGTACAGAAGTTAAGGAAAGAGGAAGAGATGATAGTACAGAAAATCTTAGGGCAAGTGCTAATCTAATTTTCAAAAGTAACCACTCATTCTTGCTTGTCCATCATAAAAAACCTCAAGTGAACTGCTCAACATGCAGAGATGCTAAAAGTTTTTCTCTAGTAATGTCATCCTCATATCTCAGTTTGTTCACCTATGGAACAGACACGATAAGTTGACGGGTGTACTGCAGTCAGCAGGATTGGTGAGCTCTCTATCTGAATGATAGTGGGTTTGTTGTTCCACAACATTGTTCCATCCTGTTTGAAAGAAATGACAAGGCCAAGCCCACCTGAAAGAAATGACAAGCCCATCAGTCTAAACAAGTCATCTAGGGCATGTTCTATGTCTTTACATAATTTTTTGTATCTGCATGCATATATACTTAGCAGTTAGGTGCTCTGCTGCTTAAAGAAGATGAAAGTACATGGCTCTTTTTATATACAGGGCTCCCTGCAGTTCCACATTAGTCAATGAAAAGTATATAACTGAATGATAAAGTAGCAGCAGTCATTGCTCAAATTATTTATAAGTCATTCATTCATCTTTATGTATAGGGCTGTCAGTTTTTTTCCTCTTACACAGAAGGAAAGAAAAACCAAGACTTGGTGCTTGCTCTTCCAAAGAACTGTGCAAACATTAACTGAAACCAGGTGGAAAATGCTGATAGAAGGAAAAGGCCACACAGAAATTAAGATTTAATGCAGCTTTAAATATAGCTTGTTCCTAAGAAAGTATAAGAAGATTAGAAAGAAATTTTCACCAAGGCCCTCAATATGTTATCATTTACTCTCCTACAGAGTGAGTGTAAATATATATGAGAAATACTATTGTTCTTATCTGGTGGTATTATGGTTTCCCTTTCCATTGGTGTAAAGTAGCATGGAATTAGACAATACTGAATCCAGGTTATTAAACATTCTGAGATATATGGTGAGTGGAAATATTATTTTTAAGAGAGGTAAAACTGAATATCCTTCTAGTACTTAATACCCCAAATCAAGAATGAATCCATAACAGGAAAGGTGTTTTGTACCTTGTTTCTCTGTTGTTTCCAAACTCAAGCTGTAGCAGAAGAGCTTGTAAGCAACTTTTTTTAAAAAGAAGTCCAAGATTCATGAAAGAATCATGGACAATTAAGTGCCACAAGTCAAGCCTCCTTCTCCAAAGGCAGGTCAGAGAAGCAGAGAAGTATGCAGGCTGACACAGTGGTAGAGAGCCCTCTGTCATGTTTTGGTTTTTTCACTTTTTTTGTGAGAGTACTTCTGGAACCACCTTGGTCCTGATGGAGTCATTGTCATAATTCCATGTGTTTAATTTTTCTATGATTCTTTTTCTTTGGAAAAAAATAATGGAATCAGTCTCTGAAGCATATGGAGCATCACCCCATCAATAAAACTATTTCGATAACATGCCATAACTAATCTTCAGATTTTTGAATTTTTAAAATCTGGATTTAGCTTCAAGTCCAGCTGGCTGCTCTGGCCATCATCTGTTAAAAAAAATGTCTGGAGACAGAATCTTGGCTGTCAGAGTGACTTTCTCTTGCGTGCTTAGCAGTACTGTGAAAAATTTGCAGCTTCACACAACTCAGTCCTTCAGAGTCCCAGGGTACCCCAGGGAAGCTGTTGAGTTTGTTAATATTGTAGCATTGACAAAGACAGATAAACCTCTTTCATTCACTTCTATTTTTGGCAACTAGCTTAGAACACAATCTTCCAACCTTATGAATCATGCCTTCAAACATACTTCAAGTATACATCCACCTGTCTAAAAGAGGAAAGGGAATCTGTGGCAACAGGCTGGCCAGCTTGATGAGGCAGGCTTTAAACTAAGGACTCAGGGTGTGGGGTCCAAAGTAGCAATGCTCACAGCATCAAATCCGGCTGGGGAACAAGCCAGGCCAAACAGAGAAGTGACAAATGTTCCTTATCTGCCTCCCAAAATGAGATCCAGAAGGCAAACCACCTCAAGAGTGTGTATGGCTGTGGTGGAGCCTCTTGCACCCTTGCTGGGAAACCTGCACACTTGATTACCTCTCTGAAATGCACACAGCATGGGAAATAAATAGGAAGAATTAGAGATTTCTGTGCAGTCACAACGCCATGATCTCATTGCAGTTACAGAGACACGATGGGATAGCTTGCATGACTGGAATGCTGTCATGGATGGCTATGAACTTTTTAGTAAAGACAAGCCAGCAATGTAAGGTGGTGGAGTTGCTCCTTACATGAGAGAGTAACTGGGATGTATCATGCTCTGTTGAGGGGTGGATGAAGAACAAGTTGAAAATTTATGAGTAAGAATTTGGGGACAGACTAACACAGTGACACTGCTGTGGGTGTTTGCTATGTGCCACCCCATCAGGAAGACGAAGTTCTAGAGACAGCTGGAAGGAGCCTCACAGTCACAGGCTCTGGTGTTCATGGTGAACTTAGAATCATAGAATCATAGAATCGATTGGGTTGGAAAAGACCTCCGAGATCATCGAGTCCAACCCTTGGTCCAAATCCAGTCCGTTTACTAGATCATGGCACTCAGTGCCACGTCCAATCTGCGTTTAAAAATCTCCAGGGATGGTGAATCCACCACCTCTCTGGGCAGCCCATTCCAATGCCTGATTACTCTCTCTGTAAAGAATTTTCTCCTGATATCCAACTTTAATTTCCCCTGGCAGAGCTTAAGCCCGTGCCCCCTTGTCCTATTGCTGAGTGCCTGAGAGAAGAGACCAACCCCCACCTGGCTAGAACTTCCCTTCAGGTAGTTATAGACAGTGATGAGGTCACCTCTGAGCCTCCTCTTCTCCAGGCTAAACAACCCCAGCTCCCTCAGCCTCTCCCCATAGGACTTATGCTCCAGTCCCTTCACCAGCCTTGTTGCTCTTCTCTGGACCCGCTCAGGCATACTGATCTCTGCTGGAAAGACAACACAGCCAGGCACACACAGTCCAGAAGGTTCCTGCAGAACATTGATGATAAATGATTCAGATGCAGGACTTGAAGGTATTCTAAGTTTTCCAATGAAAATAAATTGGGATGAGATATTGACTCCCTCAAATGCAGACAGACCCTGCAGAGAGACCTTGACAAATTAGAGAGCTGGGCAATCAAGAACCGTATGAACTTTATCAAACACAGGTGCCGGATTGTGCACCTGGGATGGTGCAAACCTGGATGTATGTACAGACTGGGGAACAAGAGGCTGGAGAGCAGTGCTGTGGAAAGGGACCTGGGGACAAATTGAATATGAGTCAGCATATTCAAAAGTAACCACTCATTCTTGCTTGTCCATCATAAAAAACCTCAAGTGAACTGCTCAACATGCAGAGATGCTAAAAGTTTTTCTCTAGCAATGTCATCCTCATATCTCAGTTTGCTCACCTATGGAACAGACGCAATAAATTGCCAGTACGCCCTGCCAGCCAAAAGGGTCAACTGTGTCCTGGGGGACATCAGGCACAGCATCACTGGCTGGTTGAGGGAGGTGATTGTCCCACTCTGCTCTGCAGTGGTGAGGCCTCACCTTGAATACTGTGTGCAGTTTTGGGCACCACAATATAAGAAGGACATAAAGCTATTAGAGACTGTCTAAAGGAAGGCAATCAAGATGGTGAAGGGCCTTGAGGGAAAACCATATGAGGAGAGGCTGAGGTCACTTGGCTTGTTCAGCCTGGAGGAGACTGAGGGGAGATCCCATAGCAGTCCACAGCCTCCTAACAGGAGGAAGCAGAGGGGCAGGCACTGATCTCTGGTGACCAGTGACAGGACCCAAAGGAATGGCATGAAGCTGTGTCAGGGGAAGTTTAGGCTGGATATATGGGAATATGGGGTTTAGGCTGGATATATGGGAAACCAGAGGGTGGTTGGGAACAGAATCCCCAGGGAAGTGGTCACAGCACGGAGCCTGACAGAGTTCAAGAATTGTATGGACAATACTCTCTGGCACATGGTGTAACTCTTGGAGCTGTTGTGTGCAGGACCAGGATCTGGATTTTAATGATTCCTTGTGGGTCCCTTCTAACTCAGCATTTTCTATGATTCTACAGTGAGTATTTTTTAAAACTTAAAGATTTCAATTTTTTTTTTATTTTTAAGCATCAAATAAAACAATGCAGAGGATGGCACAAAAGTGAGAGGCTACAGATGCCTGTTCTCTGTTCAAAAGTAAACTGTCACTGTCTAATGCAACTGTTTAAATAGTCTGTCCTAAATCTAACAGTAGAGCAAAAGAGTCAGCAGACTTATAGTTGCTCAAGGGCTCAGTGAGGCAAATGTCTGGAGCACATTTTTTATTAAACAAGGAAAGGTAGAACCATTCTACCATGTTCTGACTGTTCAGATGCTTGCTACGAGTGTTACAAGGCCCATTGCAAATTACTATTTCCACATTCATATCATCTCTTATTATCTCTGCTCAGTCACTGTGAGGCAGCCTAATCTATTCCTCACCATACAGACCATTTTATTCTAACCACTAAATAGCATTTCCCATTTGGATTCCGATATTCAGCAACAGGCTCATTTGTTCAAAGACAATTTCTACATACCTTAGTAAAAAATGACATTTTACAGACAGAGATTTTAAACAGTTTCCCAACCCAGAAGTTTAACCCCTTGGTTGTATGTGTATGTGCTTTTGTATACATATAAGTGTTATTTAAGGCAATGGGATAAATGACAATAACAAAGTATTGCAGAGAATATATGATAAGTTGTCATAATAATGGCTTTAAGATTCTTTTTACTGATGAATAAATTGTAAAAATCTATTTACGAGCCCTAAGTTGCAAAGCACTTATACAGCTGCTTAACATCAAGCAACATGTATTCAGTGGGACTGATCTAGAATTAACCTACTTTCACATTAGTATTAGATAGTGGTTAGTTGGTGATGGTTACCAAGTTTTTCCCTCATATGAGGCTATAAGAATAATGTGAGGACACCTGGAAAATTGTCTGTAGAAAAAAAAGTCCAACCACCTCAAAGGAGGTAAATGAGGAGAGAGACCATCTCATTTCTTATTACCATACCTATCATACACCGGGTCTTATTGAGAACTTTTGTACTCACAGATGGAAGGTAATTTGCCCTTGTGCATCATCTCTCATTGACATCCAACTCTGCACCTCATTTTCAAACATATCTGCAGCCCATTTGGATGCTCCTAAATCAACATGTAGTATGTTGCATGGATATACAATTGTAAATTTATGAAGAAACTTGTAAGGAGATCATATATAAGTGATGGCTTCCTTAGGTCAGAACAGATATTTGTTATAAATATAAGGAATGGCCATTTTTCCATAATAACAATGATTTCATGTAAAATGTAGGCCTCCACAAGATAACATTTTCAGCAAAATTTGCAAACTGATCACATCTCTATCAAGAAAAGCAAACCATAATTGTTTTTTGGGGGGTGATTTACCTTTAAACTGTTTATTGACCTAAGTACTCACAGTGTCCCTGGGAAATCTCTCTGTTTCTGATCACATTTCCACACCTCCCTGAAGAAGGACTTCCAGTTAGATTAACAACAACTCGGCTTAATGTTATGGAATATGGATATATTTAATATTATTGATTCAAAATATAAAAATAACTATGTTTTACAAGAAATCCAGGTATTTCATCTTGATTTTGGATGAAAAGAAATGTGAAAATATCAAAATTTACCATGGCAGAGAGAGAGAATTTTAAATTTCATTTCTTAACTATCCCTAGTTGACTTAAACATGAACTGAAGGGAATACTTGGAAACATGATTTAGAATTAAGTTCTGTGCTGGCCGCAAAATAAGCACCTTCTCTAACACTGGGCAAGATCAGCCTATAAGTCATAAGTTATATAAGTTATGTGATGTTACAGGAGGTCAACTAGGTCTACTTACCTGGCCCTCTACCTGCCCTTGAATGCCATTTTTCTTGAGATGGTCTTCTGGCAAAAGACTTTAGGCTAGATAAATTATTCTGATGGTGACAGTCTGTTCCTGGCTGCCTTTTCCATTATTCTGAGCTGCATTGTTCATGTGCTACACACTTCCAAGTGCTCTGATAAGTGTCTGGGAAAAAATGGTAGCTGAGAACAGGCCTCTTATCACTGTCAGAACCATGAATTCATGAACAACTCCTCTGCCTGACTTCCAAATTGCCTGTGGGCCAGAGAATAGCTGGAAGTGCAAACTATCTGTGTTGGAGGAAGACACTGGTTATTCTTTTTCCTAGGACAGTTATATGGCTATTTGTGTTACAGCCTTAGGTACAGAATGTTTTTAAGCCTAACCTGAAAGGAGGTTGTAACGACGTGAGGGTCAGCTCTTCTTCAAGCAAAGAGAAGCTCCTTTTTGCTTTTATGACTAAAATTTCTCTGAAGACTTTAGTAGTAGATCACCTGCCCAAGGGTGCATTGCCTTGTTTTGATTTCTTTTTGTTCAGTACAGAGTGAAAGAACTGATGTACTCTCTGAAGAAACAAGATTTTCTGAGTAAATGTTCTACTTGTGTAGGGAAGCCAATTTGCAAAAAAACAATGATTCAACTAAAACTCCTCCAGTTTGAAATTACTCTTAAAATATTTATCATCAAAGAATGAGAAGTATGCTTTGTTTTAAACTATATTTCAATCTTTCAACAGCTTTCCAGCTTTACATAATACTGTGTTAATAATATTTCCCAGGTGGGAAAATACTCCCCTTCCTCTGAAAGAACTTCTCTCCTGACCTTTTATGCCTCATTTGTAAAGTCAAGCACAAAAGACAAGGGGAGTTGATAAAATAATAAAAATAAACAATGACAACACTCAGATGGATATTTATAGGCCATCAGGGGTATCAGCTGTTGGAGATGAAGGGAGCAAGTACATGCCATTGCACAGATCAGACTCAGGCGTGGTCAGTCTTATTTTCTGAGGTTTTAGCATGCAACCCAGAGACACTTGGCCTTGACCTTTATTCTGGTAAAACATGGGATGGAATTATATAACAAAATGCAAGTTACTGTTTCTAAAACAGGGAAAGGGAAGCCTGATAGGATACAGAAGAAATTGTGCATCAGTTTAGAGGTGAACTGCTGAATTTTTTATGTGAAGGAAAAAAGATCTACCTTCTTTTTGTCACAAAATTATCTTCCTGTAAGAAAGATGGAATTATTTCTGAAAGCCACAAGGAATGATAGCAACTTTTTGGAGTGCTGTGGTGATAAGTCATTGGAACACATGTTCTCATGAGCTGATTTGGGATTTTTCAGAACAGTGAAAAGTCACAAGATGCAGCATTGTGACAGGCATCTGATTTTTATTTGGCATGTGCTGAAACATGAATCACAGTGTTCATATTGTTTTTTTCAGAGTAGAACATGAGAGTTTCAGACACTGATTCATGCTCTTACCTGAAAGCATTACAACGACAATTTCATGTCAGCTTAAGTCCCAAGAGGGCTGGAGGTTTGGCAAAAGCACAGAAGCCCCAGTCAAAATGCTGCAGAAAGAAACAGCAAAGAAATAACAAACAATTAGAAAAGGCAAGCAACACTTCCTCTTACCAGGGCTTAAAAAGATAGAGTCAAGGACTTTTATGCTACTCAAAACACATGCCTTTCATTCAAGTGATGAAAACCAAGTAATCAAAGGAAAAGTTATCAGTGTGAAAATCACTCCATGACACATTTTTTAGAAATATACTCTTGTATTTGCTTTGGTAAATGCAATGTTCAGAAATAGTTTGAAACAGCTGGTACAAGTGGAAATTAATAATTTTGCCTAGGTCACAGTAAATGTTTCTTGCATGCATACATAAAGAAAAGAGCAGAGACAAATTTTATAACATAGCAGAACAATTTATCTGCCTCATAGACTCATGAATATTTGAACTGAGCATTTGAGACTGAGGAAGTAGTCTGAAATCTCAAACTCGTGTTATTTCCTTCAGTAATTGTGGAGTTTTGATGTTTAGTTCCACAAGAAAGTAAATCTGTTGAGAATTTTATCCTTATATGAAAAGCATATATATTTAGTGGCCAAAAGACATGAAGCAGAGTTTGTATTTTATTGTGACACAGAACTGTATCTGAAATGCCATTGGGTTGCCCTTATATGCCATGAATACTTTAAACAGTCTGCCTGTTGTCATAACAAAAGTGAAAGGGAGACAGAGAGAAAGAAAGGTAGGAAGGCAACAGATGTCATATATATACTAATGGAAACGGAAAGTGATCTAACCCATGGGACCCTTATCTGAATAAACTATGAGTGCTCTGAACTAAATAGTTTATTAATTTCCATGAAAAATTGAGAGTTGAAGTCTTAGACTCAATGATTTATAACATATTCTGGATAAAAAAATGAATTCTATTATACGAACAATACAACCTATGAAGTTACAAATACAGCTGCATAAATACTGGATAGATGAGGGGTTTTTTTCTCAATAGAAAAAAATAGCTGGTAGCTTTTCTGCATAGAGCAATTTGATTCTGAGTTAGAAGTTAATTTTGAGGCTAAGTGAGGTGCTAGGCTTGTATTTTCTTAAATGAAAATGAGATGATGTGGACTATGGAAATACATTAGCAAATGGTCTTATATGGTTCATTTTCCTACAACAGCTATTTAGGAAATGTAAAAGAAAATAGTCTGATATTTTCTGTTATCACTGAACTTATGAGGATTAAATTATTCCTTCAGTTGAACATAAGATCCTTCTACATCTTAACCTCATCCTCTTATTTTTAATCTGCCTTTTTCGAAGTTTTAACATGGAGGTAATTACCTGTCACTGCTGAGTAGAGTTACATATAGAAACAAAAAATAAGTTCCCTTTTTGGCAGGAAAGTAAGAGTATTATGACTGGACAATTTAACCATTATTTTTTGGCTCAGAAGTTAACACCCTGCTGAAGCATTTATATTTCTCTGGGCTCTTGAACAGGGAGAAAGACATTACTGCAGGTTACAACTGGCTTACAAAAATAAGGTTTTCTTTTGCAGTCTGTAGCCTTGAGATTTCATTGTTGTAATCAAACAACAAAACCAACCCTGAATATTAGATTCTGCACAATAAGGCGACCTCCAAAACCAACCAGTTCCCCAGATTGCCTTTCACCAACCTATACAAGGTTATAATTTTTCAGTATTTGTGTACATCACTGAAGTTTTTAGGGCAATGCTAAACATATTCCTTTTCAACAAACTAAAATTTCATATGGCAGACCTAAATGCATTTTAGCTCAGAAATCCCAATTAAATCCTAACTGTGACACTAACCTAAGGCTGTCTGAATAAGCTGACAATAGTTACCTATGTCACACGGCTTTTGCTTTCACCAGTAGTACAGATTTTTCTAGAGATGGATTAGAAACAGAAAGAGACTAATCTGTCCTAAGTAGACCCTTTCTGTTCTCGTGTGTATTTAGCCCATGGAAAGGCACTCAGTCCTCTCTATCCTCCTTATTGCTATCAGGCTTCCTTTTCATGGTTTGGGAACAGCATCTTTGTGTTTATGGGTTTATGAAAGCCCAATAATTCAAGGAGGCAGAGTAACTTCCTCTTAGTGGAAAGGGGGATTCTGTGTAGTGGGGTTCTGTGTAATGGGTTTCTGTGGCTGGGTTTTGGTAGCAGGGGATTTACAGGGGTGGCTTCTCTTAGAAACTGCTAGAAACTCCCCCTTATCCCGTGGAACCAATGCCAGCCAGCTTCAGAATGGGCTTCCTGCCACAAGGTTGAGCCAATCAAGAGTGATAGTAACGCCTCTGTTTTAACATGTTTAAGAACAGAAGGATATTGCACTGAAAAAATTCCAGCCAGGGAAGAGCGTAGTGAGAACATGAGAACAACAATGCACACACCAAGGTCAGTGAAGAAGGAGGAGGAGGAGGAGGAGGTGCTCAGATGCTGGAGCTGTGGCCTCTGCAGCCCGTGGTGCAGACCATGGGGGAACAGCTGTGTCCCTGCAGCCCATGGAGGACCAAGAGGATGCAGAGACCCACCTGTAGCCCATGGAGGAGCCACTACTGGAGTAGGTGGATATCTGAAGGAGGCTGTGACCCCATGGGAGGCCCAAGATGGAGCAGGATCCTGTCGGACACCTGCAGCCCATGAAGAGAGGGGCCATGCTAGAGCACGTTTTTCCTGAGTAGGACTTGTGGCCCCTGTGGAGGACCCACAGTTCATGAAAGACTACACCTCATGGAGGAGTGACCCATGGGACAGCAGTTTGGGAAGAACTATTGCCCAAGGGATGGACTCACACTGGAGAGGTCCATCAAGGACTGTCTCCCATAGGAGTGTCCCCATGGGAGCAGGGAAAGGACTCCTTTCCCTGAGCAGTGACAGAAACAACAACTGACCACAACCCCCATTCCCCATCCCCCTGCACTGCTGGGGGGGGAGGGAGAACATGGAAGGAAGAAGGGGTGGGCAGAAGATGTGTTTATTTTACTTATCACTCTTTTGCTCTGACTCTGTTAGTAATCAATTCAACTAGTATCCCCGCTTTGAGTCTGTTTTGCCTGTGATGATTAGTAAGTGACCTCTCCCAGCAATCAACTTATGACTCCTTTGCTGTTTTCTTCTCTCCTCTGTCCAGTTGCAAAGGGGAGTGAGAGAATGCCTTTAGTGGGTACCTGTCATTCAATCAGAGAACTTCAGCACAATCTCATAATGTGCCTATCTGCACAGGCCATCAATGACAGACCACTACCAGCCTCTTTCATCATGACCCTTTCATTTCAAAGCAGAATCTTCTAAAAAAATTCATATTAGTAGGTGATATCAGTACTGAGGAAATGCATAGAAACTGACAGAGCAAAATATAGTATTTGTTGTTTAATTATAATTGAATAATATTAACTGATTAGTAGAGCAGATTCATACTAGACTATTAAATTTGAATAGCGTTAGTAAGCCTTAGTTCACTTGTATTGACAGCAGTCAGGTTTTGCTGATAGACTTCTTGTTTTCTCCCAATTTGGAATACATCTCAGAAGCTTTACTCTGGTTTTCTTTTTTTTTTTTTTTTTAACAAGTGTCCTAATACTGTAGATATTTAGTGGAAACTTGCAGCTTGCTCTCAAGACAGCTGCTCATTCTTCCTCTATTTGTACATTTCATTTACATCCTTGTTGGCACATTTTAAAACTACAGACAGAAAAAACAAATCAGCATTTTGTTTCAAAGCAGAGCTGCAGGAAGAATTTGTTGCCCATTATTTTACCTATCATATTTCCAGTTGGGATTTTTTTTTTTAGTGAGAAAGAATAAACAAAAGATATTGCCACATGTTTCAAACTGTAAGCTTTTAAAAAGCATCATTATTTTTTTTTCTATCCAGTTACAGGAGCAGAACAGCCACAAGTGCTGTGTAGGGTATTTTGTAGCCTCATTTATTTAGAAATTAATCTCACCTGGCAAAGTAAAAACTATTTGCTATTCCCAGCAGTGATGACCTAAAAAGTCAGCATTAAACAGTGTTTCTTAGAGACTTTATAATGTAATCAGGCCTCTTTATTGATGCTTGCTGCTGAGAAGGGCATAAAGGTTCTCCCAGAGAAAGCAGTGGAAACTTGGTTTCAGCAAATCACTTAAGCAGATGCTTATTTAAATATGTGTTTCAGTTTAAGCAGGTGCTTATATTCCATCAAAGTAAAGTAGTCTCAAAAATGTACTTCATTGCTCTTTTAAAGATGGGCTAGCACCTTGATTAAAGCCTAAATTTTCAAATACTTACATTTCTGGCTTTTCTCTAAAGATCCTTGAGAATTTCGGAGCCCCAACTTAGTTGTTATCCATCTGCAATGAATGAGAACATTTTCTTCCTCCGTATGAAATCTCATTGGTTGATGAAGAAAATATAGTTTAGCATTAAAAAAGAGAAATCAGAAGTCTTACGTCTCCCATATTAAAGAATGCTAGGTTAAAATGAGCTTTCATTCCTCTAACAGGGTGAATAACTATACTTGTAAGGAAGACCAGTTATGTAGAGATGCAGCACACACACAGGCACTTGCATTCTTACCACTGAGTCACAACTGAGACGGCAAACAGATTGCTCACTTCTTGGGATCTTTAAGGGCCCCTCAACCTTTTCATATGAGCCTATGTTTGAGTCACATGCCCCACCCATATGTCACTGTCAGTAGCCACATTTGCCCAAATAGAATAGCTCATTTCTTCAATCATTTCATTCTGAAAAAATAGCTTGTTTATACAGTTTCCTAACTTCTGCACTGGCTCAGTGTTACCACATTTCCATGACAAATGAAGAACATCTGTTTACCAAATTCCCAGTTCTAAATGTTTCAGATAAATTGATGAGAGTTATCCTTGAGTAGTAACAGTAGAATTAATACTGGTAAAAACTATAACAAATATATATAGTAAGCTATGCCGCTGCTACTAGGTGTTTTGTGTATTTACATGTGAGTAACTGAGTAAAGAAAAATGACATTTATGAAAGAAATGTAAAGAGGGAGGAAGGAAAAGAACTGCTATTACAAAGTACAAGTCTTTGAACATTTTTGTGCCAATAGAGAAATGTTTGGGGGTTTGGAAGTGTGGTTTGCACACTTGGTTTTATTCCTGATGTTTCGGTGATTTTTTCTGTTTGAGTAATTTAACCTCCAAAAATCAATGTGTGCTTCTAGATAAAGACTACAGGGTCATCAGACACGTAGATGTTAAAAAAGCAATACTTTTTCTGTCTGAAACCTCCTTCATTAAGGATTTGCATACATCTAGAAAGATCAGATTTCTAATTTGAAGAGTATTTGGGGATTTTTGGAGATGAAAGGCACCATTCAAATGTTAGCTATTACCATTGCAAGAGGCAATCTTTACTATCACAGTAGGGGTAGGTGCTGTAATTAGTGCCAGATAGCACTGCTACCGTTATTCATTTATATTACTGACAGTTCTGAAATTATCTTGTGGGGAAAAGCAGATATTATTTGAGAACCTATTCCTGATTCTGATCCCTAATTAATTGAATGTACAATCCCTTAGAAACATATACTCTTTTACATGAAATATTACAGTAGTTGCTGTTAGTGTGAATGACAGTATATTGGTCTTTATGTGCAGTGGGACACTGAATATGATATCATACAATCTTTTACTTTTACTTTCCTTTGAATTTCCCGGTTCAAGCTGTTACAACTGTTCAAGATTGACACCTGTGTTTCTGATCTGCTGAGAAAGGTATTGTTGATTTATGGAACAGTCATTATTACTGCAACATAATTGAGAGGCCAGAAAATATTTAAGGTCATTTAACAAACTCAATTTACTTTTTCATCTCTCTGTTTTGAAACACTGGCATATATGCCTTTTATACTTGTATATTAAACTTAGCATTACAGTGTTTATTTCCCTTCACTCTGCAATATAGAGTTTATTTTAATACCAGAAATGATCACCGTGCACAAGGAAAATTTCACTTTTTCACTAAAGAACTGAAAAAAACATCAGGATGATGTAGGCAACCACTAACAGAACTGCAGTAAAATTAGCATAACTGCCAACTTAAGGATTTATCGTGTTTGTAGAGACCATTCAACCCATTCAGAAAATATATTCTGTGAAAACCAGTAACAGGCTCTTACAGTTAATTATTTTTGATAGCACATAAGAATAAAATCCAGTGGGTGCTTTCCCATCTCTTGGCCCTAAAACACTAACAGTAGTTAAACTATTTCAGCAGCAGCTTAGCACGAGATGTTTATGATCTGTAAGAAACATCTGTTTATCGTAGAATCATAGAATGGTTTGGGTTGGAAGGGACCTTAAAGATCATATGACTGAGATGGTTTACACATATTGAAGATAAGGGTCTTGCAGCATCATAAACTTCTAGATAGATATGTTATATGATACATACGGTTGTGCAGACCGAAATACATCAGAAATCTACCCATGTTGCATTTTTATTGTACAATACTTTTCAAAAGGCTCTTCTATCACACCCTATAATTTCAGGTTCCTGCTTCTCAAGCTTTCCTCTCCAATTGAAGTCACGTTTTTGGATGCCTTTCATACGCAAGTTATATTTATGTATGTCTCAGGAATTCCTAAATTTCAGTTAAGTATGCAGTGAAGATAGAAAAATTGTAGCACATATATTTCCCAAACTGATTCTAAATTAAATTTCTATTCCTTTTCCTAGGCTTTTCAGGTGTCTTAATACCCTTTAAGAGGGTTAGCAATTTCACAAAGTCATCAGTAGCAGTGAATTTCATTAATAATGCTACCCCTTTGGTTCAGATTATTAATGAGGACATTTAACAAGAACAGGCACAAGATCTTGCACTAGCCTGTTTTTAATAACATTAATATATTTAATATCTGGAAACTACTCTGGTTTTTTATGACATACTATATCTTCTCTACTCGACTGCTGTATTTCTGTTGTGCAGCAAGCGATCGAATTTGGTACTGCATATTTTGATTTGTGCTAACACTCCTATACACTAATTTTACTAGTATGCCTTACATTTATTTATGTCATAAATCAAGCTGCCATTGCATTCTTACTTTTTTGCAATATATATTCATATTCCATTGCTTCTGCATCATGAGTGGAAATTAATTTTGAGTTGATTTTTCTGCTGATTTGGCAAAATTATACTTATTGCAAGGTACTGTAAACATCTTCTTTCATGATGTATCCATTAAGATGAAGGTTAAAAACACTGCTATGAGGTGTACCTCATTTTTAATTCAGTTTTATTACATGCACTGTTATCTGTAACTCTGTAGCACTTTAAAGTATTCAGTAAGTTCTGTAACAGCCAGTATAACATCCATATGGACAGCCAAAGATGCTTTTCTTTGCAGTTAATGTCGACTACTTCAGTTTACATCAGAGCTCTATGTGATTCTCAGAACATTTAAATATGCCTGATTTCCATCATCAGCATGGCAGTAAACTGAAGCTCAAAATGATTGAGAGCAGCCCTGCAGAGAAAGTTTTGGGGGTGATGGTTGATGAAAAACCTAACATGAGGCAGCAGTGTGTGCTTGCAGCCCAGAAAGCCAACTACATCCTGAGCTGCATCAAAAAGAGCATGGCCAGAAGGTGGAGGGAGGTGATTCTTTTCTCTATTCTGCTCTTGTGAGACCTCACCTGGACTATCGTGTACAGTTCTGGTGCCCCCAACAAAAGAAGGACATGGAACTGTTGGAGTAAGTCCAGAGAAGAGACACAAAATTGATAAAGGGACTTCCCCTATAAAGACAGGCTGAGAAACTTGGGGCTCTTCAGCTTGAAGAAGAGAATGCTGGGTGGAGGCCTCACAGCAACCTTCCAGTGTCTGAAGGAGGCATACAGGGAAGCCAGAGAGGGACTCTTCATCAGGAACTGTAGTGATAAGACAAGGAGTAAGGGATACAAACTGAAAGAGGGGAAATTTAAATTAGATATTCGGAAGAAATTATTTACTGTGAGAGTGGTGAGACATTGGAACGGGTTGGCTAGGGATGCTGTGGATGCTCCAACCCTGGTGGTGTTCAAAGCCAGGTTGCATAAGGCCTTGAGCAACCTGGTCTAGTGGGAGGTGTCCCTGCCCCTGGATGATCTTTAAGGTCCATTCAAACTCTCTAACAGCCTATGATACTGGATGATTTGCCAAGAATCCTGTTGTGAGCTAGTAGTAAATCTGTTAAAATAACTGGGAAATCCTCCCAGATATACACTGTATCTTCTGATCATGAAATCATTTAGATTCTTAATCTGTACAGTGTTACTCCAGCTATTAACTTCATCCAACAAAACCTCTTGTCTGTATATGACACATTTAAGCAGGTTATACTAATATATTCTAATTATTCATTATGATTAGGTGTTTTTTATTTTACAAGTATTTATTTTTCAATTATTATAACCACTTGCTCAGTCATAAAAAGTATTTACCTGTGGAGGCTATGATTTTCCAGACAGTACAGCAATAGTTGATGTGCTCTGTCTAGCTGTGTGATTTGTACTATAACATTGATGTGAGTAAAAAGAAAGGCCAAAGGAATACATATACTTTTGTCATTCTGTGTAGCTGATTTAAGCCACTGCTTGAAATAAGTTTATTCTCTCTCTCTGTGTATTAATGATGCTGAGCACTAGCTAGACGTGTGATTCCATGATGCAGTGAAGGTCATAGGATTTCTTCTACTCTTGAGTTGCTGGACTCATTAGCACATCCAAAAAGGCTCAGAAACAGGTAAAAATAATGCTTCTGAGCAGCAGAGATGTTAAGGAAATGTTTCCAAAAGTGGCTAGCAAGCCATGACTATGAATACTCTGCAGCGACCTCTACCTCTGTGCCAAGACCTCTGTCTGTCAGAGGAAGCTCTGCCAGCTCAACCAATGTGTGGTTCAGGATCAATGGTTGTCTACTGTTAGGGTCTGGTCTGCAATTCTCTGCCATCTGAGGTGTCGGCAACTGATTTCTGTCTTGCCAGAACTAAAGAGTCCAATCAGCTATTCAGCTGAAGGATTTTGTTCTGCTAGCTATTTATTGTGGAGTGCTGAGATATTTGGAGCTGACTGTGAGAATATCTCTCTCCTTTAATGCTCCAAAGAGTCTAACTGTCACACACTGCAAATTCAGAATACCCATGCAGGCTGAGAGACCACCTTGGCATGAGTATAGGACAAGTTTACTTGTCCATGCTACAGAACAGAGTCAAACATTTTGTTGCAACCAATACCAAACTCAGTTAATTCTCCATCACTTCCTCATCACAAAAATGGAAATTACTAAATACCTTTTCTTCATTATCCTGAATCTTGACCTTTTTAAAATAAAAACAAGAAACATCTTTCCAAACCCAAATTCTGT